GCCAGGGGAACTTGGGGCCCGAGGCCGGGGTGGCCTGGCAGACGGCCACGAAGGGCCAGCGAGCGGACCAGGGCCGCAGCACCGAGGCTCTCGAAGAAGGCGGCGAGCAAGCCTGGTGCTGCTGCAGGGGCATCCCACAGGCAGGCCAACGGGTCGTTGGGCAAGAAGGCTGGTAGGAGGATCTGCCCAGCACGCCGTGTGCCAAAAATTGTGCGGTGGGCGCATACGAAAGCAGCCACTGGGGCCGGCGGAGGCATTCCATATGGAACCACGAAGCGTGTGAGGGGTGTGCCGAAATAGGTGCGGTGGGCGCATGCGAACGTAGCCACTGGGGCCACCAAAAACATGTGAGGGGTGTGCCCACACAGGGCGGAGCCGCCATGCGGACGGAGCCACTGGAACCTTACATGGAGCCCCCTATGGGGCCACGAAACGTGTAAGGGGTGTGCTGAAATGAGCGGCGCCGCCATGCGGGCGGCGCCACTGTCACCCTCGGTGGCGCCCCCCTATGGGGCCACGAAAAGTGTGAGGGGTGTGCCGAAATTGGGCGGCGCCGCCATGCGGACGGCGCCACTGGGACCTTAGGTGGAGCTCCCTGTGGAGCCACGAAAGATGTGAGGGGTGTGCCGACATGGGGCGACACCGCCATGCGGACGGCGCCAGTGGGACCTCAGGTGGACCTCCCTATGGGGCCACCAAACGTGTGACGTGTGTGCCAAACTGGGGCGGCGCCGCCATGCGGACTGCGCAACTAAACTGGGACCTGAGGTGGAGCTCATGGGGTCACGAAAAGTGTGAGGGGTGTGTCGAAATGGGACTGCGCCGCCATGCGGACTGCGCCACTGGGACCTCAGGTGGACCTCCCTATGGGGCCACGAAACGTGTGAGGGGTGCGCCAAAATGGGGCGGCGCCGCCATGCGGACTGCGCTACTGGGATCCTTCGTGGAGCCCCCTATGGGGCAACGAAACGTGTGAGGGGTGTGCCGAAATTGGGCGGCGCCGCCATGCGGACGGCGCCACTGGGACCTTAGGTGGAGCTTATGGGGCCACCAAACATGTGAGGGGTGTGCCAAACTGGGGCCGCGCCGCCACGCGGAAGGCGCCACTGGGACCTCAGGTGGAGCTCCCTATGGGGCCACCAAACGTGTGAGGGGTGTGCCAAACTGGGGCCGCGCCGCCACGCGGACTGCGTCACTGTGACCTCGGGTGGAGTTCCCCATGGAGCCACGGCACTTGTGAGGGGTGTGCCAAACTGGGGCGGCGCCGCAATGCGGACTGCGCTACTGGCACCTTGGGTGGAGCCGCCATATGGGGCCACGAAACGTGTGAGGGATGTGATGAAGGTTATGATGATAATGATGATGATGGAGGGAGGGAGGAGGGGGAGGAGGAGAGGAAGGAGAGACGCGGGGCTGCCTCTTCAAAACGATGGCCCACCAGCATAGGACGGTCGGGAACAACGGATTACATGTGTGCTTGAAAAGCTATGTCTATTGAAAGGCTTCGGAACACCATGGTTTCTTATATTAGGTTCGACATGCGCGAGTGACGGCGCGGGCGCGTGGCCAGCATGGTACTATTGGATAGTGGGCGTGTCCTCAGCTCCTTTGCCTACAGTCGGGGCGTTGACCTAAGGAACCCTAAACAAGGAACGAGGCCCCTTGTTCCCATATTTCCCATGGAAACGAAAGGAAAACCCAAGGCAAACTGCGCAACAATCAAGGAACACCGAGCCCCTCCCCAAAGGAAAGGGTTTCTTTTTCAGCGCCCCGACTGGAATCCCTGAAGCCGCAGTCCTCAATCCTGAGGAGTCTTGAAGGGACCAGGCCCCAAATTGCCAAACCTCGTCGGGTGTGGCGCGTGCCACCTGGGACCCCCCGCATCTCCCCGCGCGACTTCTGGGGTCCAGGAGGGCCCCAAGACGGGCCACGAGGGCCCCCAGGAGACCCTCCAGACGGCCCAAGAGCGCCCCGAGACGCCGAAAGAGCACACCAACACTCCCAAGATGGTCCCAAGACGGCCCAAGAGGCCTCCGAGACGCCCAGGGCCTGCCCAAGAGTACCCCGAGGGGCCAAAACCAATAACTTCCCATGGGTGTTTCAATGATTTGGGGCCCCCCACTTTTCGAGCTCCCGACGCTCCAAGACAGCCCATGAGGCCCCCAGGACCACCCCAAGACGGCCCAAGAGGCCCCCAGGAGGGCCCCAGCACGAACCAAGAAGTCTCCAAGACGGCCCCGGAGGCGCCTAAGACGGCCCAAGAAGGCCAAGAGACAGCCCCGAGAAGGACCCAAGAGGGGGAACACGAACCGAAAATCCAAGTCTTCCGCCCAAAGAGGACCCCAGGAGGCCCCCAGGAGACCCCAAGAGGCCCCCAAGAGGCCCCCATAGACCCCTCCGAAGACGCCACAAGAGGCCCCCAAACAGCTGCCAAGACGCTCCAAAACGGCTCCCAAGAGGCCCCGGAGAGCCCCCCCGCGACATCCCAACGAACACCCTAGAGGCTCATAACCCCAAGAACAGGCACTGTGGCGGGATAGGCCGAAGGCCATTTAGGTATCTGAAAGGAGAATAGACGTGGTGCAAAGTATGACTGTTCGCAATAGCGCCCGTGACCGACCCCGCCGCCGCCGCCCCACCGATGGTCACGTCATGATTCGCGCCAGCGCCGTCCAGGAATACCTAGGAATTGCCAAACAGCTCGGATAGCAAATACTTGTAGGGATATGATACGGCAGAGCGTACACCATGCTACTGATATACAAAGAACCTGCGATGGATAGCTCTGGGTAACGGGTCGCAAAGTAAGAGGGTCATGGTAACAGAATATGGTTTTCTCCCTGCTCTCCCTCTTCCCTCTTCTTCTTCCTCGTCCACCTCCACATGATCATCCTCCTCGTCGCCGTTCCTCTTTCATCCGTCCTTCTCCCTCCTCCTTCCTACCGTCGTCGTCCTCCTCCTCATCATCCTCACTCTTACTGCTTATTGAACTTTAATTTGATTCTTTTCACAGAAGCGCACACACACACACCACACCACACCACACCACACCACACCACACCACACTACACCACACCACACCACACCACACCACACCACACCACACCACACCACACCACACCACACCACACCAGAACACAACACAACACAACACACCACACCACACCACACCACACCACACCACACCACACCACACCACCACACACACACTCACACTCACACGCACACGCACACGCACACGCACACGCACACGCACACGCACACGCACACGCACGCGCGCACACACATACTCATACTCATACACACACACACACACGCGCGCGCGCGCACGCACGGACGCACGCACGCACGCACGCACCCGCACACACACACACACACACACACACACACACACACATACACACACACACACACACATACACACACACACACACACATACACACACACACCACGGATGCCGCAGCAACAGTTGCGTCCACTACGTCGCTTGGGCGCACCACAGAGCCTGGATCCGTGCGGAATGGCGTAAACACACGGAATGTACGCGGGCCACTTCCCGTTCTGACCTTGCCAGCAACGTACTGCATCCTCGTTTTCTGAATGACCAGGGGGGGTACGATAGAGAAAGTATAGGTGCGTGGCTGCAGCAATCCAGGAAGCTGGAAACATACGTGGCTGGAATCACATGCGGAGCATCCTGAGGACAGTTGATGGATACGCGTGCGGAGGGCTGGCGTACTTAGCCCAGCCAGGGCCGAGGCCTGGAAAGACATGCGGTCACGTGTGTATCCAGCTCTCGCCCAAGTCTGCCACCACGTCGTGCGTGCAGTTACACGTACGGAGCTCCTGGCAAGAATTATACCAGACAACAGTCCCATGTTGCTGGGCGTCACACAGAAGCAGCAAATGCTGCGCTTCCCGTAGAAGCAGGATTTCAAGCCAGGACTTGTCGCGCTCGGCGCGGGGCAGGCGAGTGCGAGGACGGAGAGGACGGGTCGAGAGACGGTGAAAAAGCAGAGGCAGAGGAGGGGACGGGCGCAGGAGCCGAGAGCCACGACGCGCAGTAGCATAAGGCCACGGCGACAGGCAGGAACGTGCCTTTGGGCACGCTGCATTTTGACTGCGCAGGTCGCGCAAGCTTCGCAGAGCTCGGGAAGATCGTCGAGGTGACATCCTCCATCTCCGCCTCCTCCTCCTCTTCCTCCTCCTCCTCCTCCTCCTCCTCCTTCTCCTCCCAATACTCCTCCTCCTCCTCCTCATCATCCTCGCTCCGTCTCGCTCCTCCTCATCCTCCTCTTCCTTCTCCTCCTCCTCCTCCTCCTCCTCCGCCTCCTCCTCCTCCTCCTCCTCC